CTCACTCCCCGCCAGCCGCCGCCAGGACACCTCGCTCCGTGCAGCTCGCCATCCACCCTAGTGACGCCCCACTGCTCTCCATCGGGCACACGGTGCACGGAACTGTCAATGCCGCCCCAATTCTGTGTCGCTGACCTTTTCTCATTCTGTTGTATTCCATTTGCAGATTCCATATGCATGTCCGTTTTGCTCAGGAATATCTTTGATGGGCTTCTCTTTCCCCTGAGATCGTTTGTAAAGGGTTCTGGGGATGAGGGTGGATGGAGTTAATGTGTCACCCTGATATCCTGGAGTTCAGTAAATGCTTGCTGGTTAAGTGAGTGTATATAAAGAAGTAAATGAGCATGTAACGGAGAAAACTCTGAACTAAACATAGGAAAGTCTAGCATTATACATTTTTTCTGTGGAATCAGTCACCAAAGAGAGGACCTTGATACTCACCTTGCCTACCCAATAAGGGTTGCTTTTTAAATTGTACAGTATACAAAATATGACTGTTCAGTTCGCTTGAAAAACCTGTAACATATCTTATCTTGGTCACACAGTGTACAACGTTCTTATTTTCTGCCCCTTAAAGAGTAATCCCCGTCCTGACTGGTTTGGCTCAGTGGATAGAGCGTTGGCCTGTGGACTCAAGGGTCCCTGGTTTGATTCCAGTCAAGGGCATGTACCTTGGTTGCAGGCACATCCCCAGTGGGGGGTATGCAGGAGGCAGCTGATCGATGTTCCTAACTCTCTATCCCTCTCCCTTCCTCTCTGTAAAAATCAATAAAATATATTAAAAAAAAAAAAAAGAGTAATCCCCACCCAAAGATAGAAAATGCCACACCAGGTGATCTACCCTCCACTTTTCCTCTTAGAGTCCTATTTTTCTGCAGATTCTTATATATTTCATCCTCTGGCCTATCAAGCTTTTCTAAACCTACTCTACTTTCTATCACATAATAATATGAAAGCAAAAACATCCATGAATTATTTCAATTGCTCAGAAAAAGACTGCATACCCAAGATTACAGCTTGATGACTACATTTCACATTTAGACATTAGTCTTTTGTCCTCTGGCTAAATATATGATACTGTATTCTATTTTATATATATATGGCTAATATGCTAAGTGTCCCTCCGCCTGTCTGACCAGTCACTATGATGCGCACTGACCATCAGGGGACAGACGTTCAACGCAGGAGCTGCCGTGAGGTGCACTGGCCATTTACAGAGAAACAGCACGGACCTGGCACTGACAAAGCAACACTTGGATTCCCCCAAGTGGGACACAGGCCCCGCCACCACCCCGGAGCAACACCCCACCAAATTGCAGCCAAAATGTGGTCCACAGCCCGGCCCAGAAATGGTGGCTGTGGGCGCCCGGTAATGACGTCACATAGCAACACCTGGCTTCCTCTTCCTAGCCTAGCGACCACTAGCCTCCTTTGAGTTTCTTCAGCCCAGGAACACGACTTGCTTTATAGCCAGGTGCAAACATTTCACACTTTAACCAAATGTTTGTGAAGCATTTTCCTGTGCCTCATCTCATTTGTTCCTCACAGAAGTCCTGGAGTAGGTAGATAGGAGACTCGGTAGAATCCTATTTTCTTTTCATTAGCTGAAAAATGGAGATTTAGAAAGTTTAGAAACTTGACCCAACTGAAAAGAAGTAAGAAATGGTGGACCTTGAAAATGACTTCAGGTTTTCTCACTGCACAGAATATAGTCAAACACTGCTGCAGTTAAATATTTTACCCTTTGTTCTCCCTGCGTGATCTACAATAATAATCTGCTTTGTGTTGATATTTACTGCTGTGTTGCTGACAATTACCTAAAAGAGAAGTTGGGGTTCTTCACTGGGCTGGAAAAGATTTAGCTAAATCAGAAATCAGGTCTAATTAAGCAAGTTTATCTACATGTTATAAAGCTCTTGCTGGTGCCAACTGCACGCGTGTGTTTCGATCTGTCATTGCGTAAATTTGGTTGACACTTCTATTATAGAGAAAGGGCAAATAGCAATATTGAAATATTTCTTCTAATTAATTTCCTTTCAATGTGCATGAATCCGTGCACCGGGCCACTATTACATATATAAAATTACATTGTATTTACAATGTGCCATGCATTGAGCTTAGCACTCTGCATGTGTTATCACATTTAAATCTTCTAGAAGTCCCATAAGGCACTGTTACTATGCCTATTTTACAGATGAGAAAACTATGACTAACAGATATTGACTATGTCTAAGTTCACATGATTAATAAGTAGCAAAGTCAGGACTTAAATGAACAAATCCAAATGACTCTAAGGACCCAGCTCTTAATTTCTACCCCATTGTCCAGAGCTGTCAGAATTAAAAGTCATCCTTTATTTTGTTAAAGTCATCCTTAAACTTAAAAGAAGTAAAGGCAGCCTAACCGGTTTGGCTCAGTGGATAGAGCATCGGCCTGCAGACTGAAGGGTCCCAGGTTCGATTCCAGTCAAGGGCATGTACCTTGGTTGCGGGCACATCCCCAGTAGGGAGTGTGCAGGAGGCAGCTGATCGATGTTTCTCTCTCATCAATGTTTCTAACTCTCTATCCCTCTCCCTTCCTCTCTGTAAAAAAAACTCAATAAAATAAAATAAAGTAAAGTAAAGGCCTGTGGAGCCTTTTCTTTCTCTGTATCCTTCTAATATCCAGGTACTGCTCACCGCCCCCCCCCACCACCACCACCACACACACACACACACTTTGAAACATTAACTCATTCCCCCACCCAAAGATAATTTTCCATCAAATATTTCTTGCTATGAGTTAGATATTTTATTATGCTTCTTTTTTCAAACTTTTTTTTTGACATTTTCTATGTATGTATATGGAATTTGGGGAGCAGGGGTAAAAATATTAAAAATTGAAAAGCTAGGGAAGAATTAGACACTTTTTCTGTAAATTCAGAAAAATTAAAAGATTAAGAATTATTTCTAATATACAATATATTTGCTGGAACTTTAAAAAAATAGAAACAGGCCCTGGCTCAATTGGTTAGAATGTCATCTCGATGTGCCAAGGTTGCAGGTTCCATCCCCGGTCAGGGCACATACAAGAATCAACCAATGAACGCATAAATAAATGGAACAACAAATGGACATCTTGCCCCAGCTGATGTGGCTCAGTGGATAGAGTGTCAGCCTGCAGACTGAAGGGTCCCAGGTTCGATTCTGGTCAAGGGCACAAACCTCAGTTGCAGACTAGATCCCCAGCCACGTGTGGGAGGCAACCAATCGATGTGTCTCTCTCTCACATTGATGTTTCTCGGGGAAGGGATCCACCCTTCTATATAATAGAACATATCTGTAATTCTTCATGAGTGTTAGTTGACGTTGAGCAAAATGCTTCTTCATAATATTGGTGACTAATACAGCACAATACACATTTCGGAAGCATTGAAGAGCTGTGTGTTATATGAAACTATGAAACATAGTATAGTGATATGATTCATGTATTCAAATCCCAACTTTAGCACTCAATAACTAAGAACTTAAGTCATTAAACTGCTCTGTTACTCAGTATCTCATCAGTAAATGGGGACAATAATAATTCCTACTTCGTGCGTGTAATGTGTCAATAGTGCATGAGGAAAGGGGAACCTAGAGATTGAAAGAGGCTTAAAACATATATTGACCAAATACAACATATATGGATCAAGAGACATATCCGTGAAATACAATATGTGGACATTTGGGGGAAATCCTGATTTGAAAAAAGCAGCTGGAACAGATATTATAAAGCAATTGGTGAAATTTCAGTCCTGACTGTGGTGATATCAAGGAATTATTGTTATATTTTAGATGTGCTAATGAAATTGTTATTATTTAAGAATCTTTATCTTTTAAAAATGTATACAGAAATATTGTCTTGAAATGCTTCATGACAAATTTATTGTCATAAATTTGCTTCAAAATAATAAAGTGATGGCATAGATGATGAAAGATTTCCCATTGTTTATTACAACATGGTTTATTTTTTTGTTTGTTTTTTACTACTATACTCTCTACTTTTGTATGTGTCTGAAGTTGTACACAATAATTTGTTTTTAAAGTGCTGGAACATAGTAAGGATGTTGTAAATCTTTACTATTATTATATGCTTTGTATTCATAATATTATCTACTGTTCCTTTATACCTTTCAGGTTACGTGTTTTTATTTACATTATGTCTTCTGGTATTCGCACTAAACTAGAAGGTAGGTATTATTATGCCCATTTTATAAATGAGAAGACTGAGCCAGAGACAAGACTGCAAGCCCAGGAAATATACCACCTCCACTCTGCCAGCTACAGGGAACTCGTGGTAAAAGGACAGGAGGTCCCCTCAGCCGCTGCCACAAGGTCCTTGCTTCCTTAATGGCTGTAGTCAGATCTAGGAGGGAGAGAATAAACGGAAGGCACAAAATGGTTCATTTAGAGAGACTTATCCAACAAAAGTTGAGCTCACATTTGCA